GAGTGAAATAAGGCAAGCAGAGAGAGTCAATTATCATATGGTTTCACCTATTTGTGGAGCATAACAAATAACATGGAGGACATGGGGAGATAAGAGGAGAAGGGAGTTGAGGGAAATTGGAAGGGGAGATGAACCATGAGAGACTATGGACTCTGAAAAACAATCTGAGGGTTTTGAAGGGGCGGGGGGTGGGAGGTTGGGGGAGCCAGGTGGTGGGTATTACAGAGGGCACCTATTGCATGGAGCACTGGGTGCGGTGCATAAACAATGAATTCTGTTACACCGAAAAGAAATAAATAATAATAAGAAAAAGAATTGAAGCAATATGTTTATTTACATTACTAAATGGATCATATGTGGCATGTTTTGTTATTGTTTTGGCATTGTTTTTTAAGCTGCCCGTGATACTTCTTTCATAATATTGCAACAAATTGTGTGAATGCCTCATTCATTATCCATGCTGTGAACAAGAGTCAAAAGGTCCAAATTGCATCTAAGCTTATGTATTTTTTATAGAATTCCACTTACCTCAGTTTGACAACATGAGCTCTGATGAACTGACTTCTTAAATTTGATTCTTTGAATGTTTTAGTAATCTGTAGAAAGAAAAGAAAAAAAAACCTCTTTGTAGTTACAGTTGTTCTTCCCTTCCTTCTTCTTTCTAACCTAGCAACGTAGGACTTAAGTTAATGAGGAACAGGGATTGGAGTTTTCAGTTCAGTTCAGTTTAGTTCAGTTCCATCTCAGAATAGATGAGGTTGATTTAGACCAGTGATACAGCTTTCGGATGCAGTGCCTATTTACTGATCTATGATACAAAGATGATAATGGACAGGATGCATCTTCACTAGAAGTCATCTCAACATTAGATGTTTTACTCAGGGTGATTTGGTGGCTCTTCCTGGAGGGGTTGGGGCCAGTGCCAAGCCAACACTAGGGGAATCCATGATACAACTTACATTTGTGTGATTCCCCAACAACTGTTTTTAAATGGGTAAAACCAGGTTAAAATGAGTGATGAAAAGGGGAAAACATGTAAAGGGCAGTTTTTTCCTTATTAATTCTGACTAATACCTAAGCATCCAAGGTTATTTGTGACATCAATCAGTAATTTCCTGACCTAACCTTAACTATTTCCCTGCATCATTTTTCTTTTTTTTGTATAATGTTTAATGATTTTTCTTTTTTATTATTATTTTTTTAAATTGTATTTTATTTTTTCAGTGTTCCAAGATTCATTGTTTATGCACCACACCCAGTGCTCTATGCAATACGTGCCCTCCTTAATACCCACCACCAGACTCACCTAACCCCCCCACCCCTCTCCCCTCCAAAACCCTCAGTTTGTTTCTCAGAATCCACAGTCTCTCATGATTCATCTCCCCCTCTGATTTCCCCGAATTCACTTTTCCTTTCCTTCTCCTAATGTCCTCTGTTATTCCTTAAGCTCCACAAGTAAGTGAAACCATATGATAATTGACTTTCTCTGCTTGACTTATTTCACTCAGCATAATCTCCTCCAGTCTCGTCCATGTTGATACAAAAGTTGGGTAGTCATCCTTTCTGATGGAGGCATAATACTCCATTCTATATATGGACCATATCTTCTTTATCCATTTGTCTGTTAAAGGGCATCTTGATTAGCAGTGTGGAGATTCCTTAAGAAATTAAAAATAGAGCTACCCTATGACCCTGCAATTGCACTACTGGGTATTTAGCCCAAAAATAGAGATGTAGTGAAAAGAAGGGCCATCTGTACCCCAGTGTTCATAGCAGCACTGGCCACAGTCACCAGATTGTGGAAAGAACCAAGATTCCCTGCATCATTTTTCAGTCCCAGCAAGGATGGTGCTCTTGAGTTATAAAGCTCAGCTTCACAGTAAACTATGGGTGGTTCTGTGACTGAAATGGTTCTCCCATGATGCAGGGTCAGTAAGAGTTATCGAGGTTTCCTAATGTGGGAGTGAATTCCATTGACTTGTACTGTGAGGCAGCAAAAAGGGAGATGTGGACGTGTAGATTAAGTAGTGTGCTGAATATTAGATTAAGCCAGGATTTGAAACCAATCCTTCTTGAGACTGTAAAGTTAATGCAATCTTTATTACACCACTTTGTATCTTTTAAAATATCCATTCCTATAGGCTGGTATCAGACTGCCAGTTATTTGACAAAATGATGATTTTCTTTCTTTTCAGACAACTTCGGACACTTCAAGAATAATGAGACTATGAGTTTTATGGAAACAGCTCGTGTTCCTTTTTTAAAAATTTAGGAAATATTAGTAAGTGTTGAGAAAGGAAAAAAAAAAAAAAACCTCCCCAAATTCTATGATCTAGAATTAACAGTTCCTGTTATTTGGTGAACTATATTCCAGTTAACTACAAAGAAAGATGGATTTTAATATGCTTGTTAATATACTATTATAGGAGGTATTTTAATAAACGGTTTAACTTTAGTTTTACTTGATTTTAACAGAGTAAAAGGAATTGACCTAAAGCTGAAGGAATTGGTAAAATCTGGATTAACGTTTCCTGTGATTATATTTTAATTTATGGTTTGGCACTACACCTGCACAGGCTAGACTGGACCAAAGTTAAAAAATCCACCTTAATTATGATATTTTTGTTTTGTGGAAAACTTTAGTGATGACTAAGATAATAAGCAACATAAAGAAAACAAATTGATTAATTGGTTGATATCAAGATACAAGGATAAAAGAAGAGGACCATGGATAAGATTTCATATTTTCCAGAATACAATGTTATTGGCCCTCTCATTAAAACTTATCAGTTCTGATATCAGTTCTAATATCAGTTCTAACTTATCAGTTTCACTAGAACTTATCAGTTCACAGAAAATCAGTGAGCAGATGATTGTAGAGAATTCCAATAGGATAGTAGAAAGGGAAGTTGACAGAGAACACAGAGATAAGTTGGCTTGCTATAAGAACTTGAATGAGCCTTGTAACCTTTCTTCTTCTCAGTTTTTCAATCTGTAAAAGTACATCATGATGGTTTTGGAAGGGCATGGTGTTAGGTATGAAGAGAATTGAATGGAGATGAGGGAAATAGAGGGGAATAAAACCTACAGGGATTGGTAATGGATTGGATATTTGGAATGATAGAGGGCAGTAGGTCAAAGATGAATTCTAGGTTTTTGCTTTGGAAAACTTAATGAGTGACATTGTCGTTAATGGGGACAGGATTATTGGAAGAAGACTGGTATGGTATGGGGAGATCATGAATTTGATTTTAAGACATAATACATTTGAGATAAAAAAAACAAGTAGAGATATTAAGCAGGGAGTTGGATGAAACAGTCTGAAATACAGAAGAAATGTCTGGGCTTGAGACCAAGTGAGTCATTAGATAAGTATTAGTTGAAGTAGTGCACATGGATGAGATCATCTACAAATACAAAACAGAGTGACTGGAGAGGAGAGCAAAGTCAAAGCCTTGGGGAATTTCAGCTTTGAATGCCAGCATAGAAGAGGGTGATCCTGTAAGGACACAGAGAAGTGGCCAGAAAAGCAGGATAGGAAAAGCAAATGAATATTTTGCTTGAAAATCAGAAAATGATAGACTTTTTGAGTTAGAATATACTATAAAAATCATCTGGTCCAATGATTTTATTTCACTGATGAGTGAATTGAGAGCCAGAAAAGAGACATGAATTGCCTAATATAACAGAAGATTCTGGGACTATTCTATTGCTCATTAAGTTATAATGTGTTGTTTGTGGGACAAGGATAATGATGGTACTCAAGTTACCATTGGGAAATGGTATGATCCTTGGATCTGGAGTCAGAAGCCCTTGGTTTGAATGCTGGTTCTACCACTCTACAAGTGATTGACATTTTCACATGTTTCCTAATCTCACAACCTTTACTTTATCTATCTATAAAAATGATTTGTTGATTCATTTGGCTGTTGTGAACTGAAGGTTAGAGAGTGCTTTGTAAACCATAAATTAGCACTGCACTAGAGTATTATTCATAAGGTGTTTTAAATGTTTAAAGTGTTTTTACTGAAAGATAAAGAAATGAGAGTGTGGAAATCATACATCAGAAGAATTTCAAGGGAAAACTTTCTCTGCTAGTTTAAGTATATTGTAAAACCACAGTACTCCAAATAGCTTGGTACTGGTACGGGTAAAGATTAATCAGTAAAGACAAGGAGGTACAGAAAAAAGAAAAGGAGGAATTTGTGTATAATAAAAGTGGCATAGCAAATATACCCATTGCACTATTAAACACACTGTTTTGGTACACCACCTAGCTATTTTGGGGGATAAAGTTGGATCTCTACCTTATTGCAAAGTAAATTACAGATGAATAAAAGATAAAATTATAAAAACTGAAATAATAAAATTATAAAAAGAAAATGAAAATGAATATTTTAAAGAGTATTTAGAGTGGAGAAAGCATTTTTAACCTAACACAAAAGGGAGAACTCATACAAAGGATTGATAATTTGTCTATATGAAAAATTAAATGTTTAACATTAAAACCCCCCTGTATTATAAACAGGATTGAGAGTTAAGTCACATTATTAGAGAAGTATATGCAATGTGAATGACTGGCAACTTCAATATTCTAATAAGTACAAGTTACAAGTTTTTTTTTTTTTTTCAAATCCATATAAAATAGACAAGTGCTCCAGTAAGAAAATGGGCAATTCACAAAAGAGGTTGTAAAAATGACCTATTCATATAGGAAGACAGATTAAATCTTAGTAATTAAGGAAATACAAACCAAAATAATTAGTGTTAGTGAGCTATCACTTCTCACCTCCTGAATTAGCAACAATTAAAATGATTTACGACGCCGCGTGTTAATGCCATGGGGAAAGAAGCATACCTGTGTGGACTTACGTAATGCTGGTGAGAATGTAAACTGGGGCATTTCTGGAGTGCAGCCTAAGAATTAATCTTAAAAATGCAGAGAACACTATATTGATATAAGCAAGTGGTTGAATAAATACATGGGGAGAATAGAACAAAAGAAGAATTTAAAATATCCTTCAAATATTCAAAGCATAACTTCCCGCTCCTCTTTTTTTTTTTTTTTTAAAGATTTTATTTATTTATATGACAGAGAGGGGGGGATCACAAGTAGGCAGAGAGGCAGGCAGAGAGAGAGGAGGAAGCAGACTCCCTGCTGAGCAGAGAGCCCGATGCGGGGCTCGATCCCAGGACCCTGAGATCGTGACCTGAGCTGAAGGCAGAGGCTTAACCCACTGAGCCACACAGGTGCCCCACCGCCCCTCTACTTCTTATGCGTGGCTTAGACATGGTGTCTTTCTTTCAAAGAGTATAGTGTGGTAAAGGGAGGGAATGACTGTACGATATAGAAACCTCACAAACACTTCAGCTGGGTGATCAAATTGACAGTGATTTACAGTGTAATGAACCCCCTTCGTGTGATGGAATGAAAATGATACTTTTCCTCTTTGGTCTTCCTCCCTCCCCAAACTCCACTCTAAGCAAGAGAAAACAAATAAATAAAAAAGGCCCAGTTGTGGGATTTTACAAAATGACTGGCCAGTACTCTGCAAAACCGTCAAGGTTCTCAAAAACAAGGAAAATCGTAGGGACTCTCATAGATTCTCTTCCCAAATCAACTGATTCAGCTGTTTATTCTGATCTCATTAAACATTTAAATGATGTACCTAACTTCCCTTGTTCTAATCCCATTGAACTAAGCAGTTGTTCCATAACTTGGCTTCTAGCGATGTTTGTCTCTGGGGAAAAATGTGTTAGATGAGCCAATATTTAGTTTCCCAGCCATAAGATTTCTCATTATAGATCAACTTAATGGTTCCCAAAGTGTGGTCCTTGGACCATAAGCATCATCATCACCTAGGAACTTAGAAATGCAAATTCTTGAGTTCACCCCAGACTTATTGAATCAGAGACTCTGACATCAGAGCCTAGAAATATGTGTTTTGACAAGGCTGCCAGGTGATTCTGTTACATGCTAAAGTTTTAGAGACATTGGATTAATTTATATTCTTAAGACTCTTTAAAAGCTAAGTAAGCAGCCTCAAGACTGGTCAACTCTGACTGTGTGAGCTAAAGGCCAGACTCTGGCCCTGGTCATAAATGAATGCAAAGGGTCCACTTGTGAGATTTCCTGGTGGGCCTCTTCAAGTGAAAGCCTGACCTTGCTTTGCATATTTCCTATGTCTATCACTGAGCCAGAGTAGGATGTTGTCTAAACTATGTTATTATTGACGTGCAAACATGTCATTTAACACCTGCTACCTGTGTATTAGTTGGGTAAGAAAAAAGGGAAGAAGGCCAAATGGAAAGGATTTAAAAAGGCAATCTCAAGGGGAGCAGTAGTAAATGCTCAACTTGCATGAACTATAGACTTCCAGCCTTTGAAGTCATAATCATATAAAATATGAATTTACTCAAGAGCCTTCTAGCACTTTTCACTCATGACTTAAAAAAAAAAAGTAAAGAAGAATCAGTATACTAGCAAATTAACTTGGAAAAAGCACAAAGAAACACATCTTTCAGTATTCAGGGAAGAAAAATATGCAGAGCACTTAACAGTTACAAATAGATCACAAAATATTAGATTTATTACGAAATTTGTTTTATGACAGAATAAAGAGCAAAGACAAAATTAACTTACCATAGATTCAATTCTTCCACTCAAAGCCCTATATTCCTGTGTACCTGGTGAATTTAACTGATTACTATATTTGACATTTAGGATTTTAAAGCTGCTATGGTAAAAGTAAGACTTTTGATCTGTAAAGCAAAGAAAAGGCAGAATCAGTCTCACTACTAAGTACTTTAAACTTCAATTTATCCAGGATTATAGGATGCTCTATTATACAATTAAAAAATTTGCTTCTCTTAAATGAATAGTTGTTTTCATGATTATCTTTCTCCTGGAAGAGTTAAATAGTATCTCATCCAAAAAAATTTCTTTTGCTTCTCTTAAAGAAAACCCCAAACTTACTATAAATGTAACTATAATAAAATTATTTTTCTTTCAGTTTTTTAAAAAACTGACAGATCTGAAATTGTTAAGGATATAGGAAAATCAGAGCAGCATTATTTGTGAAATTAAAGTGATCAGAAGTATCATAATTTTCATTTTTACTATATTTTAGGGAGATTTGTGATTGCAGATTTATTCATCAAGAAGTATTAATGAATGTCTATAATATGCTATTATTCATTTATCACTAAAGAATAACCCAAAGCAATTCTGAATAGTTTTAAGAATTGTTTCAAATAATAATCATTTTAGAGGAATTAGGGACTTGTTAGTTTTTTAGAGTAAGCTAGAAAATAAACGTTTGAATAAAATAACTAATAGATTGTCCAGTGTGAATTATTTCCACCAAAAAATGTCTGCCAGAGGACATATTCAGTTGGGTGAAGAAAGTAAATATTTCTAAAACATACTGTATATATCTTAGAAACATTATGAACATGGATATAATAACCTAACCTGTCTCAGGAAAAATCTTTTGATCATTCATAAGCATAATTCATGCAGAAAAGTATATATATCAGGGAAAGAGTTAGAGATCCTGGTGGAAGGGTGGTATAGTCCTTTGTGGTGGAGGGACAAGTCTTTTAAGGGCCATAAATGGTTACTGGGACACATTCTGCAGAGGATGAACCTAGACTCCTCCACTTGTGTGACAATATGGTACCACTAAAAGTGAAAATTGATTAATTTAATTGGGAGCTTGAGATTTCTTACCTCTGTAATTCACCTTAGATGTAGCTGCCCCCAGGTGATTTGACAGAAAAATGTAGCCACAATTTTATAATTAGCTTGATTGAAAAGATTATTTATTATTACTGGCTTTCCTAACGCTGGTAATTTTATTGTGCCATTGAGAATTTTTCAACTTTCACTTAAATATGCTATTTTGCCTATTTACTATGGAACATATAATAAATTATATTCTCTCTGTCTCTCTACACTCATTCATACCCATATACCTAAGCACACACCCACACGTATGATTTAAATGATTTAACAGAATTATAGTTGAAATAAAATAATCCCAAAATGCATTTTTAGATGAAAAAAGCACATTATAGCATATATTATTTAGGGAATTTGACACAATTTTCTTTATCTACATTAAAACATCTGAAAGAATGTTCACTGAGATATTAAAGAACATTGTGAGTAAGCAGGGTATCCTGTATTCTTTGTATTGCTTCTTGTCTATGTGTCCTTTATTTTTGTGATATAATAATACTAAGAGAAATAATAAATGAACAGGTCCTTTTTAAAATTTGTTTTTCTCCTCATCTTTTGTAGCTGTTCTCCCAAGACTGTTTTATGAGGAGAAAGATCATGATTTAACATATACTTCCAAATTTTTAATGTTGAAACTTAAAATTCTTTGCGATATTTCACTTTTACAATTTTATCAGTGGAAATCATGATATTAAATGAGAATACAAAATCAGCAAATTCTAGTATCAGAAAAGAATCAAGAGATTTTTTTTCCTTTGGCTAGAATAATTCTTGTCTGGGTAATACTGTTTATTCTAAAAAAAAAAAAGAGAAGAGAAAAAAGTACTGATTGAGGGAAATATAGACACAAACATGTATTTAAGGATATATAAGACATACAATTACATTACATTAAAAAATAATAGTGGCAATAAAAGAAAGAATGCCAAACTTTTCATCTGAAGGTATATTTAGTTATTTGGTTTGGAAAGTGGTCCTTTTAGTCTTCTAGTACTTACCAAAAGCTAAAAAGTAGATGAGTAGGGCTACGGTTACTGCCAAGATTACCACCCCCGCCACAACAACAAAACACACTACACAGGGATTCAGGAATCTTGAGGTTGACGGCACCCGTGCTGGCCTTAAAAAAAGAGAAAATGATCAAAAACTAACCTTTCATTCAGGGAAGCCATTATTTTAGGGTTTATGAACATTTTCTATCTTCCTATGTCTTTTAGTCTGAACATAGCTCTCCATATAGGAAACAACGTGATTCTTGACCAGAACCTTAGTGACTTTTCTTTCAAACTTTTTTTCAGCACGAAAATGCTGACATTTTGGTAGTTTGATAGAAGCATAAGTAAATCGGACTTATGCTTTGCAATTATTTCCCTTCCTCTGTCAGTTGATGAGGTTCTCAAGAGGTACAACTAATTGTACTGTTTTGTTGTCTTCCCAAGACCTTATGTTGGACACTTACTATGTATGGTAAAGCTCCCTTAACTGAGTACCATCCCCAGTGGTATACAGAAGAGGAGTCCTTCTGGGTGAGAAGAGGGGTGGAGGGAGTCAGAACAGTAGCATTCCTCACTGTCATATTCTCTGTATTATTAAAAATAGGGGTGTGACCAGAGGTTGAGTGCTCAGGTCCAGGAGAGTAACAAGCCTGAACTCTGAAATTCACCTCTGAAATGAATTAGAACTGTCCCAACAGCAGAAGATTTGTGTGATTTATTATTTTTTTTCCCCCATGAATTTGTAAACTACAGTGCAAGCCAGTAGATTTGTACTAATATGGTATCTGGTAATTATTAAGTACATGATCCAGGTACTATCTTCTTCACTGCCTCCCTCCCCACAACCACATACACTTGCACTAGGGAGGTAACCAGAAGAACTAAGTGTGAATCTCTCTTTTCTCCCTTGTTTGCTTGGAGGTCATATTGTCATTCATCTGAGACTTTCCTAGTCTGACAAGTGGGATTAATAATATCTGTCTCTGGGTGCCTGGGTGGCTCAGTGGGTTAAAGCCTCTACCTTTGGCTCAGGTCATGATCCTGGGGTCCTGGGATCGAGCCCCGAATCAGGCTCTCTGCTCGGCGGGGAGCTTGCCTCCCCCTCTCTCTTTGCCTGCCTCTCTGCCTACTTGTGATTTCTGTCTGTCAAATAAATAAACAAAATCTTAAAAAAAATAAAGAAAAAAAATCTGTCTCAGATTTTTGAAGATCTTTGAAGATCTTTTGAAGATCTTTGAAGATCAATGAGGTTATGTTAGGAAATATATTTCTAGTTAAATAGATTATCTACTAGGCGGTGTGCCACTGGAGGGGAAAGACAGTATGCATGCTTCTGTTTCAGATACTTTGCAGAGTAACTGCCATAAATAGGTGATTCATAAATATTTATGATATCATAAGTATTTCTTGCAGTGTTAACTTCTGAGCACATTTCAGATTTAAAGCCTTAACATAGCTGAAAAACAGTTACATTTAGCAAGAATCTAGTTTCTCATTTTTCCTATTTGTTTTGCCAATCTTCTGGTGTAAGTGTGAATAGAAGGTTCTGAGAGTCAGTGATTTGCAGACATTTAGTTTTCATAGTAGGGCTGCCTGTTGTTGTTAGGGCTCTCCATGACTCAGAAACACTTCCTGGTATTTTACAGTGTATCACCGGCACATCGTATTCTGTGGTTCTGAGACCAGTAACATATCAAGAGATCGGCACATCGTATTCTGTGGTTCTGAGACCAGTAACATATCAAGAGATTGTTAGAGGCAGACTGAGACTTGCCGACTTTCAATTTTGTTGAACAAACACATTAATCATACAAAAATTGACCATGCTCAAACATCATCTAATGAAGGGGCATTTACGTGCCTAGAAGTAGGAAGGACATAGTCTCAGGCTAGCAAACAATGAATAATGTAGCTTTAGTTTTGTGATATCTTTTTTACCGCATCGCTCTTTGTTCATTTTGCTATACGTGAAAACTGACTTACACTGGCACTGGTCCAGAGCCCAGCATCTGGAAACCACCACTGCATTAAACGTCAAATTGGAGGAAATTGGCACTTTGACATTTGTTGATTTTTGAGACTCAGTTTACTTATCTGTTACCATGTGTGGTCACTGTGCAAATGACACACAATCACAAATGCACGCTGTTTGGCATTTGTGATTTCAGTAAATGTTAGTGTCTGCTGAGTAGTGGCAGAGTCAAAAGGAGACAGAGTTGGAGTCCAGGGTAAACCCAAAAGTCTGAATAATTTCCAAACTGATAGATCATTCTCCTCAACCAGAGATGAACTAATGTGTCAAGACTTATGAGTGTGGAGAGAGAAGTGGTGAGAAACAAGAAGTTGAAGGTTGAAAAAACACAAAGGCTGGAGTCAGCATGTGCTGGTTTAGCTCGGATGAGGCTCCCATGGGAATGACTTTATCACCAACTTTGCTTCAGTTCATGGAAAACACCTTAAACTCAATGACTAAAAAGCACCAGGAGACATATGACTCAATAAACAAAGGGTGTGGAGCTCAAATCACCTTAATCCCACAAGCCATAAGTAATTGCATAAGAATGGGTTGATGCACCCTGCAGAAACCGCTGAAGAAATATCTACTCTTCTGGTAGCGCAACTTGTCATTGAACCTCTGTATACGGTTGATTACAAAGCTTATGCCAACACAAACTAAATTGTGCACAGTATTTACTTTGAAACTATTGGAGGTAACATGTTTGCAAACACTGAATTTTGAGGCAATGTAATGGAAATCTGTGCAAGAAAATAACTGCTTTTAAAGCCTGTTCCTGATCAGTGAGATTGCCTTTGAACAAAGCAAAACAAATAATTCAGTTGTAACATGTTGAACCAGCCTTCCCCTCTTGTTTGCTCTCTTATTAACTTGGAAGAGTTACATTAATGCTGCAAAACTTATTCTATAGTTTTGGGAGTCTAAGTGTCAGGTACTGCACATGTGTATTAACAGTCCTCACAGCTGTAAAGCGGGTATTATGATCCTATTTTGAAGATAGGGAAAGTGAGGCTTAGAGAGTAAATAACTCAAAATTACTCAGGAGGGACCGCTGAAAATTGAAACGAGGTTGGTTTGAATCAAAGCACATGCACTTCCTTTCACATGTTCTTCCTCACACTATAGGAGACAGAAAAGCTTCGGGACTCCCAGCTCTTCTGACTTCATTTGGGGGAAGCAGAGGGGATCAACATCCATTGAGTGCTAGGACTTTGTCTTACACATAGTAAGTGTGCGATAAAATAATTGTTGATTTAATTTTTATTTGAAAGTAAATCTTACATTAATATATCAACATTATTTAGAAATATTAATCTTTGCAAATGACACATAGTTACAGCCAATATAGGGCTGTGGATTAATAGAGCCATTGGCAATAATTTCCATTATCTGCAAGAATGGAGGAAAACAGTGACAGGGTAATTGTAAACTCAGATGCATATACATGTAAAGGACTTTTAGACAATTTTGTGTCCTTTAAATTACATTTCAGGTGTCACCATAACAAAGATTTGGACCACAGTTGTCTTCTCCTGCGAAGCATTCTTCCTCCATAATCCCACTTTATGCCATAGTTTCAGCAAGCACTCTATAGGATAACATTTTCTTTTTTTTTCTTTTATTTTTTTTCAAGATTTTTATTTATTTATTTGACAGACAGAGATCACAAGTAGGCAGAGAGGCAGTCAGAGAGAGAGAGGAGGAAGCAGGCTCCCTGCTGAGCAGAGAGCCCGATGTGGGGCTCGATCCCAGGATCCCGGGATCATGACCTGAGCCGAAGGCAGAGGCTTTAACCCACTGAGCCACCCAGGCGCCCCTAGGATAACATTTTCTAGGACAGATCCTCAGCCCAGACCTCTGTCTTGGAGCTTGATGCCATCATTGCTAGTTATCACCAGATATCTTCTGGATGCTTTACAACCTCCTTAAATATGAGAGGTCTGGGAATGGGGTGAAGGTGAACTATTTTCTCTCTGGATTTTTACCAGTCTCAGAGGATTCCAAACAGCACTTTGCTCCACTAAGCCTTGATTGGTGTTGCCAGTTGTCCTCCCAGGGAGGGATTCTGCAGCTCTTGGGCAGAAAGGAAGCTCTCTCTGTATGTGTGTGTATGTGTGTGTGTGTGTGTGTGTGTGTGTGTGTGTGTGTGTGAGATACACTCATGCATTGTCCTCTGCTATCTTTTTATTTAAGCTGGGGTACAGGGAGGCTGTGAGTAAGGGGAGGAGAAGGGTGGGATAGGTTCATTGTCTCTAAAGTGAGAGATTCCTTTTGATTTCTCTGTTGCCTGAGAGCTTCAGGTCTGGAAGCCTGACTATCAGGTTATGAGTTGCCCAAGTATAAAACCTGGGGATGGTGGGTGATACCCAAGCCATAGGTTTTGTGTCTCTGGGGAACTGCTTTCTCAGAGGGAAGGAGGTGAGATGCTGTGAATTGGCTGTGAGTTTCTGAGTTTTACCAAATAAAGTGGAATCTAAGATGAAAAAAAAGGAACCCTCCTTGAAACTGAACTTTTCCCTCAGTACTACACTCCCCACTATTTCTAAAATTGGTGAATTTCACTGCTATCTATCTGGTACCCTAAGTTGGAGACCTAGGAATTAGCTACATCTGCGCTCTCGGTCTTTCTCACATTCAAGAGGTCACCACAAAGTCCTTATCTTATCCTTATCTTTCTTTTTCTATAACCTCTATTTTGTTCTTAATTTTGGCTGTTATGGCCTGAATTATATTACTTGCAATGCCTCCTGACCGATTCCCTGCTTCCATCAACTACAGTCGTTAATTAGTTAATGCAAGACGCATTTGGTGAGTGACTTCGATGTTCTGGGTGCTGGAATGCAATGAAAGAAACAGACAAACAGCAGTTCTAATGGTGAAGGGAGACAGAAATGAGTAAGTAAAATAAGGGAAAAAGCAGAGAGGTGGGAAAAGAAGTGTGTATGTGGCACTGAAAATTAAGGTAGCGTGGCCAAGAAAGGCCATGGTAGAAGGTGATTTGAATAAAGGCCTGAAGCAGGTGAGTGAGCGAGCTATGAAGGTACCTGGAGAAGAATGATTTCAGCAGAGGTAAGAGCAGGCTCTGAGCCAGGAACTCGGATTGTAAAT